TAACTATTTTAAATTATTAATAAAGATATAAGCAAGGCCTCACCTTAATACCAAAAAAAAAAAAAAAAAAAAAAAAAGTTCAAGAAAATCAATATCAAAAGTTTCATTATCGCTATTATTTTCAGATATTTCAGAATAATTTAAAAAGTTATTTTGATCTAAAAAATTTTCTGAAATTTCATAGGATCTAAATTAATAATAAATTGATTTTAGATTAATAAAAAATATAAATATTTCAATAAAATTATAATTTATAAATACCTATTTATTTCATTTAAAATATCATTATTTATCATTGATAATTCATTATTAAATAAATTTGCTTCAATTTCTATATCAAAACTATTTTCATTAGAACTAGATAATTCATTCCAATATTTTTGTTTTTTTGCATGTCGTAATTTTGTAGATTTATAAACAAATTTGCCACCTTGTGTCGAACATTCTTTTTAACATAGTGTACAAGTACAAAAAACCGAATTCTTCATAATTAAAATACGTATTTTTAAGAAAAATTTTACAAATAAAAGTTGTAAATTATTTAAAATCTATTACGCATAATATTTAAATATGCAAATAATATATATAAAAAGTTTAAAGTTACTTTTTTGATATTTTAATTACAAATAAATCAATAATAATACTTTAAGTATATTTTATATTATACTCCGAACAATAGTATATAATAGTGATTTTACAATAAACTATACAACTTTTACTTTTTCTTTTTTTAAAATAATGAATAACGAACAACAAATTTCCAATTTTTCTGAATTGCTTGAATATTTACATGAAAAAAATACTAACAAAAATGGACATATTATCCTTACATCTCAGGTTACCAACAAATTATTTGAGTTATTAAATGATATGTCTTTAGAAATTGGTTCTTTAAAAGCACAAGTTGATAAACTTAATCAAAATAATAAAAAAAATAGAAATTCGACAGAGGTATATCTTATAATTTATTTATTATAAATATAGAACAATTTTATTTATATATAACAATAATATTAGCAACAAGATTTAGTCGAATTTGAAAGTATTCCAAAACCTACTGGATTAAAATATATTAATTTAGCCGAAGTCTTAGGGTTAGAACATAATGTTGTATTGGAATATTAGGTTTTTTTAAATTATTAAAACTTTTAAATTTAATATATACATTTAATTTAATTACTAATAAATATTTTTAATATTATAGAGTGATATTCGTGATTTGGTTAAACGAAAATTAGATATACAAAAAACTTGGAAAGACCAAGATATTAACTCAATTGCACATGTTATTAGATCGGTAAATTTATTATTATTTAATTAATTAATAATAATAAGATTAATATTATTATTAATTTATTATTTATTTAGTTTAAACATAGAAATATAAACTTTCCAAAATGTAAACATGATTGGGCTATCAAACTTATGATTCGTCATGTAATTATTAATGCCCGTAAGTATATTAATATATATTTTTAAGTATTTAATAATTTATTAATTTTGCTAATTAAATAATTTAGGTGAATACAAATCAATACAACATAAACAAAGAGTTAATAATTACAAAAAAATTAAAAATAATAATAAAGCAGTTAAGTTTTTAATATTATATTTATTTTAATATTTTATTTATATTTTAATAATTTATTTACTTAAATGAATTTTTATTTAATTTAGCAAATTAATTCTAAAAATAATTTAGAAAATATTAATTTTTTTGACAATGATAATTATGTTGATGAAAATGACATTGAAGAAAATTATAATATTAAAAACAGTAATACTGAAGATAGTAATACTGAAGAAAATGATAATATTGAACGAAATGAGAATAGTGATATTGAAGAAAATAATATCTTCGAAGAAAATGATAATTTTGAAGATAATATTTCTGAAATAAATGAAACAAATAATATCTTTGAAGAAAATATTTCAAGTGATGATAATATTGCAAAACAATATGAAAATCAAAATCTAGTTAAGTCTAATAAAATATATTAAAAATATTTTATAAATTTAAATTATTAATCTATAAATATATATTTATTTATATTTAATAGCAATTTACTAATAAACGAACTTCAAATAAAGAACTTTTACAAGATAATCAATTATTAAGAAAAAGCTATTTATCTAAAAATATTAATTCAAACAAAAAAATCTTACAAGATAATGAATTATTTAAAAGAAACTATTTACGTACAAATACTAATTCTAATAAAGAACTTTTACAAGGTAATAAAATATATGATAAAAACTATTTATATAAAAATACTAATTAAAAATATATATTTACAAAATATAGTTTCTAAAAAACATTCACAAGATAATGAAATGCGTAAAAGAAAATATTCAAATGATAATACTGATTTTAATAAAGAACACTCACAAGTTAACAAACCATCCAAGAAAAAATATCATCACAAAGATACTAATTTGTTAAATGATGATTATTTACAAAATGACAAAACATCTAAAAAAAGAAATTCATACAAAAATACCAATAACAATAATACATTGCATTCTTCTATAATTGAAAATGCACAAGATTCTAATTATTTACAAGCTTCAACAACATTTAAAAAGAATATGATTAATAAAACTCATAATCTTAGATCACATACTGAAAAAATTATAAAGATTAAATAAGTAAAGTATTAATTTTTTTTTAATTTATAATAAAATTGATTTAACCTTTACTTTTCTCTTATAATTTTGTTTAGCTATTTTCTTATCTACTTGCTCTACTTGCCTGTTTGTCTATTAGTTAAATACATAAAACAAATATGCTAATTCTTAAAAATCATGTTTTATTATTTTATGCTATTATATTGCATTGTAAAACAAGTATATATTTTATTAAATATAGCAAGTGCATATATAAATAGGCAAGTCTAATAATATATACATATTATATCGATGCAGCTACAATATTTTCTTTGAATAGCTATTTTGAATTTTGTGTAAATATTAGATAACGTATATATGTACACTAGTATGCTAATTATTAGTTATAGCCAATAAATTACTGAATCAAACAAAAATTCGAAAAAAACAAAAATATATAAAGTATCTGGTATATAAATTCGACTTTACCTACTACTCTAAATAGAAATTTTCAGCACAAATTTTTGGCTTTTAAATACTACTTACTAAATAAATAATTAGACCAATACTATATTTCTAGTGTTAATGATTTTCAAATTTAATGATTTTTAAATTTAACGATCTATATAACTTGGCACAGATTTCAGACGTGCAAAAAGTTTTTGATTAGTTCTCAAAGAGCAAACCTAGGTGTTTTATTTTTTTGAGTTGGTATTTTGAAACTGTTAGTAATAGTTGTCTTTGTATTTATGTAGACTAAAGTTTTCTTTATTTTGTAGATAACAGATCTTGAAATACGGATTACATGAATGTCTATAAAGGTCTCAAACAGAATAACTTAGATCTTTGATAATTCAGTCTCGCAGTTGGTAAATCGCTTGTTTAATATTTTTTTAACTTTATTGGCCTAGTAATACTGTTGCTTAGCTTATTGGTCTAGTAGTACTAACACTAAGTATTTTTTTTTGGACATCTTATATACAAGATCTATGATGAAGAGATTGGAACCTTGAAATTAATATCTTCATGATTTAGTATTTTAAGCTAAGTATTGCTTTATCTTTTTTCTTTTGTTTTCTAGATTAGTTACTTATTTATACTGATACTTTCTTTTATTTTTTAAATAATAATTTTTGTATTCTTATACAGTAACTAATGTATATCATGCCTAAAGTTGATACCTACCTGAAGTTGCACTTGACTGAAATTAGCCCTTGGAATTATAATACCTCGCATGTATTAGCTAGCAGTTTTAAGAGGCGTAATTTTAGATGCCTGAATTTGCAACTTCAGGCAGGTACTAGATCTATTGTTAGGTTTAGAGGTTGGACCCGTTAAGAAAATCTTTATCCGAATATTATTAAATTACTTAGGTTATCCGGGTAATTTATTAAGTATCATATAGTACAATTTCTACCCGGATCCAACTCCTAGTTAGGTTGACTAAGCTAAGTATCACATTTGTTTTTTTTTATTTAATAAGGCCATTCAAATTAATTAATTGATATTCATAACCAGCTAGGTCAAAACTCGAAAACCTGTAAAAAAATTATATATATATATATATATATTTTAGTAACTGGATAGGTTTTTAAAAAAAACTTCTATAAAATTTTTATATATGAATTTTAAGAAAAAAACTGACCAGCTGGGTTTGTTTAAAAATTTTATGTTATGAAAAGCAAAAAATTAAATTTGGGTGGTTTAATTCTTTATCTATACTAATACTTTTTATTCTTTAGATTATAGATTTTAGGTCTTCTCTTTTGATAAGTATTTCTTAGACCCACCTTACTTCATCAACAGTCATCTTACTAACAGCTCATTATACCAAGTGATAATTTTTTTTAAAAATATATACCTGTAACTAATCATATATTAAACTTTTAATAAAATGATTGTTGGTGAAGTAAGCAATATTATATTTCTTTAGATAGTCAGCTTCAACTTAATTGAATAATGTTTGGATCGCAAATCTTTGATACCTTCAATATATAATGTTTGAATCACAAATCTTCAATATCTTCAATATATAATCATGAACAAGAAACTAGAATTGCGATAAGTATTTAATTTTTTATTTTTGTTTCATTTTTTCTTCTATTAATATACTTTTTTTTAGAGCTCTTCGGCATAATAAAATCGTGACTTTAACATAAGCTGTGGGTCAATATGCATAAGTTTTATATATATTTATTCTATTTTTTTTTACGATTGGTTCTGTTTCTAACTTTTTGAAATAATAATTGGCAGACTAGAACATAGATAAGTATCATTAGTAACTTGATATTTTCTGAAATATATTCTCTCTAGACGCTACTAATATAAATTTAAAATATCTCAAACCGAATATAGTATATTGACAGCACACAAAGACTAATATATTTAAGACAAAAAACAAAAACAATATTGATTTATTCATTATTCTTATAGATTCTTACATTACATTTAGTGTTAAATTTTATTAGTGAGATTGAGAGTACTTTATTTATTCCAAAAATATAAATAAATTGATAATTAATTTTATATAGATTATATATGATTTTTATTTGATTTTCGAATAATTTTTGTACTGGTTATATACAATTTTTATCCAGAATTTGTCTAATAAATTCGAATTTTATATAAAATATATATGCAGTATAGTAAGAATTTATATATATTATATATGGATTATATACAATTTTTATTTAGAATTTGTCTAGAAAACTTATATATTTTATATAGTATAAAATATACTGAAAGTTGCAAGATTCGGTATAAAATATACATATTTTAATATATAGAAAATATACATATTAATTTTATATAAAAGATGGATGTTTTCTGTATACTAAACTGTTTATAGGGCAGGTTCGGATCAGTTTCGGGTTGAACGTTAACCTGAACCGAACCCGACCCAACCCGACCTGAAATTATCCAAATTAGAGATGCTTGAAATAAGCATTTAATATGTTTTTTTGGGTTCTAATAGCAAGTACATATGTTTATAATAGCAACTACATAAATATTCTTAAATAATAGTTTAAATAAAACCACCAATCAGATTTCTTTAAACAAAATTGTCATAGCAGATCCTCGATTTTTATTGGTTAATGGCTACAGATCGCAAACTTTTGTCCACATTACATAATTTACTAATTATCGATCATAATATTGATTTTTTTTTTATTACAAAAATAGAAATTTTGAAATATAATCTCGCATTATGGTAAAATTTGTCTAGGAACAATAAAATTCTGAGTAATTCTGACCAAATATTTTGCTCAGCACTCTTAGCCAATCAAAATCAAGAATCTGCCATGAAATTTTGTAGAGAAAAATCAATAATTTTTTTTTTACAGCTGTTCTCATAAATTCTGGAACAACAGATAAAAATTTGATCTGCCAAATTCGATAGGTTTTTGGATTCAGTGTTATTGGAATTGAATTTTCAGCATTACAGTAATTCAATAACATCGAATTCAAAAACTTATTGAATTTAGCTGATCAATTTTTATTAATTGTCTCAGAATTTATAAGAACAGCTATAATTCTATGAATCATAGAATAAAAATAAAAATTTTCATTTACTCTAGTATATAATGCATGATTTTTACTATAGTTATAAAGTATATTGAGTTTGGATTTGATTAGCCAACATCAATAGTCATTATTACATGAATTTTAAGAGCAAAATGGATGACTAAATTCATTTTTTAAATATATTAGCTTTAAAATTTTGGGTCAGTTTGGTTTGGGTTCAGGTCGAGTCGGGTTCATGTCGGGTTGAAGCTCTAACTTAAAAGTTTTCAACCTGACCTGACCTGAAGTTTCGGGTCAGGTTCAGGTTGGCTCATAACCTAACCTGAAACGACCTGTTCGAAGCACTACCTATAGTACAAGTGAAAGTATTGCTGTATAAAACTAGTTATTATCATAAATCCTATTATTAACAATATCTGTCCATCCCAACAATAAACTAAACCTGTAATTGATCACTCACCTAGTCACATGCCCAGTAAACCATAACGAATGATAGAGAAGAGTTCCAACCCTAATTCGACATAGTGAAATCCTGGTTGAGACAATAGAAGAAGATAAGAAATTAGATAAACAGTAAGTTGAAAGAAAAACTTAACAGAGAAGAGACCAGTACTTATCTATGAATGAAAATCTATTTGCCAAATCTAACATGCCTGTTTCGACTTAGCCACCATAGGTTACATGAAAGTTGGCTTAGTTTAGCGACAAACTCACTGAAATCTGATATGACAATAGCTACTCTAATCCAACTCTTGCATAACCTATAGCAGTTAAGTTGAAATAGGTATGTTAGATTTGGCTAGTAGTTTATCTATAAGTAAGTACTAATCTTCTCTTGTAAGTCTTTTCTTCAACTTATTCTTCTATTAACTTTTGTTTTCTCTTGAGTTAGAAAGACTGAAAATAATAGGAGTGATAAAGTTAGTATCTGTAAAGAAAAGGAGATTGGAATTTTTCTAGAGATGAATCTAGTATTTTTGGTTCCAAAGCCAGGCCCAAAAAAATATCATATAGTTATAGAATTAAAAAGGTTAAACTAGGTACTACCAAAGAAAACTTTCTGATTTGAGGACTTGAGAGAATTATTAAGAATGTTGAAAGAGACTGATGAGTAATCATTTTTGATTTAAAGGATAATTATTATCATGTTCTAATGGACAAATAGTTTAATGTTTCTTAAAGTTCTAAGTAGGTGAAATGTGATTCTATTATATAGTTTTGCCTTTCAGTTTATTCTAGTCTTTATAGGTTTTTTCAAAGATTATAAAAGCATTGATAAGCACTTGAAAATCTCAAGAGATATATTGTGAAAGTCATATAGACAATGTGTAGTTAGCGAGCACATTCAAAAAAGTTTTATTATATATAAGAGATACAATAGTAAAAGTAGATTTGAAACAATGCAGATTCATCAGAGCCTAGAACAAAGGAAATTAGAAACCTGTTAAAAGAATAAAGATTTATAGTTTAATATTAGATATAGAAAATAGTGTAGTAGAAGTATTAGAAGAAAAGAT